TTTGTAAAATATTTAATATTTTAGTAAAAAGATTCTCCTCAGTTTTAACAAAAGTATTCTGCGCATAGTAGAAAGAATAAGTACTCGTAGAATTGTTGAATGAGCTAAGGCTTTTGAATGTTATAAAGCTTCTTTATGGTTTTAAATTTCACTGTAAAAGAATCGGTTTCAGGTTTTCATTTTGATTAACAGTGATGTAGTACTCAATTTTATTTTAACATTTGTTGTCTATTTAATCTCCAAAAGGGTTATAGCAACCCTTCAAGTTAAAATAATGCAGTATACATTGTTCGTAGAAAAAATAAACTAAGACTGGAAATTTCTAAAGTGTGCAACCTGAGAACTTGTATAAAAGCAGAACTGTTTACAGATATTGCCATGAAGTAAACTGTGAGTTCATCCAGCTGAAACTGAACAATGCGTTAAAGTATACAAAACATTATCCATAATTCTACGTGATATTCTCTAATGTATAAAAATCACATAATGTCTCTTACTATTCAGAAAATTAATTGTTTCTAGGTATGAAAATGTAGATGTATTTAAGCAATCCGGATATATCATAAATGTGTTTGAATAAATTAAGTTTCTCTTGCTTCAGATGCTGATATTTCGAGAAAAATATCTGCTTTTTCTAATGGAATTATGAAGGTATATTCATCTTTGATCCCAATTCGAATATTTGATTCATCAGTGCCAAATTAATTACGAGCAACTGCAGGCGGGGTGTTTAATAACATTTAGCAGAAGCATCCCGCGTTGGTCACTTGAGAGCGAATACTGTTGGAGTTGCAGCAAAACTTCATAAGTCTTAATTGCCAATTGTCATTTGTCAGTGATGTATTATTTCGTACCGGCATTTCGGGAAAAAAGCAGTATTTGCTTCAAATAATTTCAGCAGGTGTTAGTACGTGTTATAATAATTAAAAACATGATTAATTCTGTCAGAAATTATCTCATTGCTCTGTACGTGTTCTCATTTTATATGTACCAGGATCTCCAGGTATCTAGGAAGATCCATTGTTCGAAACTCGAAAGCATAGTCGAATTTTCGTCTTCTCCTCTAAAAAAAGTCCTTCATTTTGGTATTAACCACATTCCAGTACCCTTTATTTAAGCTTTTTTCTTCGGGTAAGCAATATTTTTTCCTAAACTTTAGAAGTTCCGAGGCAAAGAATACATTTCGCTGTTACAAAGAGAAATAACAAGTACTTTTTGTTTAACAAGGACTAACTTGTAATAAACGGTTGCCGTATATGCAAGGAAGTAAAATTTATATGAACACGATATAAATGTCATATTTCATTGATCTGTATTAGCACTACAATCTTGGCATCTAGTTAAGGCAGCTGTCACATGTGGTGTGATAACGTTTTTGAATTATGTTTATTCCAAACGATGCCGAGCGCAGTACATTGCAAGGCCCACTTGTTCCCCAATGAGTAAGACCGCTGGCCCTTGGAAATTTGCCTAAAGCTCGGTTTCCTGGTGAACAGGTTGATTATATGGGGTTTTCTTGCGTGTTAACTCAATAAGGATCAATTTCTCAAACAAATACCTATCTTTTAAAGCAGTCTTCGCGTGTTTTATTATTCGAATAACTTTAAATGTCCTTATTAGAGTGAGAAGAAGGTGTTTTATTGCTATATTAGCGTTTTACCTACTGTTAACTCCAGAACTTGGAAGTACGCTATACATTTTTCATAGCTTCCAAATATTCAGATAGCAAGATAATTTGGATAATGTGCATTGTTGTTCAAGAAGTAGAAGCATTTAGAAATTATGCCAGGTTTTACTGTTTTTTTAATAAGAAATTGTTAACTTAAGCGGAACACTTTTTCTTTGCTGATATTAAAACTAATTTTAGAAAATTTGTTTTACACGCAGAAATTCGGATTATTTTTCTTTAAGCGATAAAGTGAATTTTTAACTAGGAAAATTAAGAATAATTTTAAGTATGGATATTTAAACATCTAACTAATAAAAAATTGTTTTAATTTGTAACATAATTGCTCTATTAATTATTGTTCCGGAATATACTTTTAAATTGAAATATTAAAATATGGAGTATGAAATTTACAGAACATTTATTATTAATTTGCAGATGAAAAGTATTTCTCTTAGCTATATAAGACGACAGAACTGCTTTCTTACTAAAGGCTAAATTCATCTGTTTTGTTCAGAACTGATCCCTATAGATGCCAAAGATATAATACTTAAAAGATGCATTATACGTAGCAAGAGTTAATTCACTTGTTGATTTACTTATTTACTTGTTCCATCATGACAAGTATACCAGAACTATGCTTAAGGGAAGGCATGCCTTTGTGAAAGGAAACTGGCTCGCATTTATATTGCAAATGGGGAAAACCTACTAAAACGCCCATGTAACAAGACCATTTGGACTTGCCCACTTTGCTGTCTGTTGATGGAAGTTCCACTTGTTGAAACAGTATTTTCAGAATAGAGATTTCAAATCAAGTAAATCCACTCTAAGACCACCACCCAGGTTTTTAAATGATTTTAGTCTTCTGTGGAGGTGGTTATCTTCGTAAAAATGATTATCGATTACAGCGACTATCGGTTTGTAAAATGAATTTACTCTATTCAAGATTCATGGAATCTGTTAAAGGAGAACATTGAAGTAGTAGCGTAATGTATCAATTTATTGACATTGATATTTTAATAAAGTTACGTATTAATTACAAAGATAAGTCGATAATAAGTAAGAAAATATTCACCTAATGAAGTCTGCCTATTTGATTTCCTCTTTTGGTTAATCACTTCCTTTTGTAAAACACTATGAATGTCATAAAACCAACTATAAATTAACTATCTATTGTGCGTGTCTGCCAATTTCTTGTATTTCATATCACCTTTAGTAGCATTTTCTATAATTTTTATTCGAATTTCTAAATTTAAGATTAAATTTAATGTTTTATTTCATATGTTTAAATCTGAAGTTTTAAAAAGATTTCATTCTAAAGCTAATTACTTTATACTAACTTAATAAATTAATTTAGTTATGTTGATTAACTCAGTATTCAATTAATTTAAGTAAAACTGCATGGTTTCTATTGAATCAATGATTACTTTACGACCTCACATAAAACTGCATATAGTACTTTTTCTGTTTTAGGTTGAAGAAATGAAAAAAGATGACTTGAATCTGAAAAGCATTTACCAGTTGCAAGTTTTTTTAGGTATTGCAATTTCACTCGGAGCATCAGTTTTCGGCATTATCGTAATCAAGAACAGCGTACAGTGTCTGATTGCCAAGCAATACCTTTGCCAGGCTGCAGCACTTTTTTTGAGTGCGTGGCTTTTGGCCTATCCAGCTTTGACAGGCTTCCATGGATATGTTTTGTTTGTATGGATCTATGGCATCTTCTATGGTGGTTACATCTACTCTCTTAAGCTCTGTGTTTTTGAAAAAGTGAGAGCCCGGAATTACGCTCGGGCCTGGAGCTTAATACTATGCAGTCAAGCAATTCCAAGCTTCTTTGGTTTACCCGTGATACGTAAGTATCGTATTTTGCTTGATTTATTACTTCATAAGTTATAAAAATTTATGGAAACATCCTTAACGGAGGAAGTAATATTTGTAAATGAAAATACCTAAGAGCCGAATACATAAAAGAAAACTTTGAGAGGATTCTGCTTACAAAACTGGCCTTAAAATATGTGCTTTCTCAAAACATTTTTGGTTTTGTTCCTCTTAATAGTATTGTATGTACACATCTGAAAATCTGGATTTAATGACACTGATTTTTCTTAATAAGACGCAAAGCTAGTTTAACAAAGTATATAAGGTTATTTTCTACCTCCTTTCTGCATGCCTTTGTGGTTAACGATAGCACACTTGGCGCGTATTCGAGAGATCCAAGTTCGAATCCCGGCGAGGGCATTCTCATTTTTAATGTTTTCTGGTTTAAAAAAAGAAAGCTAATGACACTACGGTGGCGCCTGAACTAAAATGTGGTGGACAATAGTTCGTTACCACCAGGATTTGGCGATTGAGTCAGGTCATCCCCAGTCATCCTTTAAAAGGGAGAGTATATAATGTATTTTCTCCCCCCTTCCAGTAAGCCTTCGTGGTGTAAAGGTTAGCATACTCGGTGCGTATTCGGAAGGTCGAGGTTCGAGTCTCGATGAGGGCACCATGCATTTTTCTTGTCTCCTGCTCCGAAAGGTTATAATATCTCTACAATGGCGCCTGAACAGGGACGGTGGTGGATGATGATTCTTCACCACCGGGATTTGCCGGCTGGGTCCCCTAATCCCCAGTCGCACTTTTAAAGGGGGGAGTATATAAGGTATGTAGGTAGATAAGTAGGTAGGTATGACACAGTTCACCCTACTGGCAAGCCCAAGCTCGCCTTATGGCTTTTCTAGATCGGCCACGAAGGAAAAACATAAAGGAAAACACTTCTTGAATAACGAGGTCTCCATCAGCAGTCATATTGGGTGATCTTTGTTATTGTTCTATTTCAATTGCGATCATATTTTTATTGATATTTTCCATGTTCTCTTCTACTATATTTGTTGCTTCATTTCCAGTATAAACCAGGTCTTTAAAGTTCATATTGGTATTCCTAAGGTCTTTTGTTAATTCAAATTCTTCCACATAATACCTGTTATTTCCCAGCATTCCACATAGTAAACAGTTTGCGTTTCCTTGAATTTTAAATCTGTTTAGGTAAGCCGGGAATCTACCGTGACCTGAAAGGATCTGACAAAGGTCTTTATTGGTTGTGATTTCCATTTTTTTCGAGACTTCAATGTTTTCTAAGTATATGAGGTATTTTCTTTCTGCATGCCTTCGTGGTGTAACAGTAGCACACATGTTAAATATATATATTTAAATGATTGTGTTTACAAATTTAGTAGCGAAATGGGCTTTCACGGATCAAACGTGTGTAAGCAAATGTTTTTTTATAGCCTGCTCTTGCATAATAAGTAAAATATGTCCTAATTCTTTCTTGGAAGTACTTGCTAAATATATACGCGCATATTATTCTGTCATAATTTCAACTGCCATAGCATTTTTTTACAAAAGTATTTCTTTTATAACCTTTTTTTAATCACTTGTGTGCTGTTCCTTGTTTAAGATATTTTGAGAATTCATAAGGGTGTACTGTAATCCAAATGATGGCTTGTAATGGTTTGATCTCTCATGCAGTGTTTCCGAAAAAAGTGGTTACAGGCTTCATTTTCTCAAATATTCATCCTAGACATACTATTTCAGGTGCAATGTTTCCCAAAGTAAGGTACAATTCTCAGCCCTTGGAGGTGGGGAAGCAAGCGTTTCGTAAATATAAAATTTTGCATGGTCTTGTACAGAGTAATAATTCCATATTAAAATATTCATTATTTTCTAATACATTAAATACGAAACATTCCTAAACGTTACATGCAAAATAATTTAGCCAAATATGCATAATTTATAGCCCTTTCGCTGGACAAGCTAATTTAACAAAGAACTGTTTTACCCAATATAGAACTATTAGTCATCCAAGGCGGGTTTTTTTTCCTTTTTGAAGTTGCTTCCTAAGTCTGATTGAAAAATCATGAGCTCCTTTCACTTTTTATTTGCAGACATTAAAAAATAATCTAAATCAATAAATACATACTCGAATATTTCCACGAATTTTGCACTAAATTGTATGAAGTTTTCTTTTCTTCGTTAATGCCTAATGAATATTTTACTAAACAAAATTTTGGCTCTTTAAGACTATATAAAATTTAATTTACTTCAAATCTCTAAAGCTAAAGCTCTAGCTATTTTCATAATATTTCATAAAATTCTCTCCCTCATTTTGAAAAACGTTTTAATTGTTAGGTAATTTTTAACACAGTATTTACAGAAACAAAGCCTGTAGATATAGTTTTTATAAAACCATATGTACATGCCATAATGCAGCATTTAACAATACTTCGAAAACTTGTATAGACCGATATAGATAACTATCACAGAGCTTGATTATTACACATTCTGCACCCATTTCTTTCATACATGCATAACAAATCTAATGCATGAATTATTACTTTATTTTCCCTAAGTGTTTTATTAAAAAAATCTTGTTTAGTGCAATAAATATCTTTTATCTTAAATTATAAGTTTTTCTCTGGCTTCATTAAATTAATCCCCAAATAATCGATATTTGAAATACGGCTAAACTGGTTTGAGAAATTTAGTTACACTACATAAAATGAAGTAAAATTACCCATTGATATCACCTGATTTTTAGTTGTTTGATATATTAATAATTTTAATGAATATCTTTCTTTTTATTTCAGATCATCTGAATCAAGTCTGGGGTTTAAAAAAGGGTTACTACGTCTCTTCAGCAGTAGTATTTTTAGGTAGCGTCAGCTTGTTCTTGATAGATGTTCATAAATACAAGTTGCATAAGAAAAAGCAAATGGAGCTGCAACAGAAGGATAATGCTCTTCCCGAGAGTTCGCTAATTAAAAGGAAAGATTCTCATGACACTCTACAAGATATACCTCGTGATTACGGGGACTTACGCAAGGCACAAGAATTAACTTGCATGTCAGAAGAAATTCTTGTCGAGAATTTTATAGAAGATTACATCGATGACTGCATTACATCTTGTAATAAAGAGGAGAAATTTCTAATGCTGAGCGAGTTCGAAAACAACCTTTACAAAACAGAAAAAAATGTGGAAGAATCAGGTTCAACAGATTCCTTAGATTACTGCGTAGTCTGCTCCCGTGGGAATCAGTTCAAGGGTTCCGAAAAAATTTACTCACCAAGAAAATTGATTAAAACCATTAGCAGCATTGACGTCATTGATGAAGTGACATCTTCCTTATAAGTGTTCCTGCAGAGATTTTAAAACCAAAGGACATTCTATAGCATGTTTGATTTGTAAAATAAATTTCAAATGCAGATATTCAACCAATTTTCTCTATGCCTCTTTGGAGAACGGAACAAATCGGAAAATGTTTTTTCTGAGAAAAGATAAATGAATCTTAATTTTATCTCTTCAATCTTTTTTTAAACATAATGTAAGCAGAACCTTTCATAGCTTCTTTTGGCTTGAAGGTAAAGATTACTATGGGCAAAGTTCAGTAATAACTAATGTATGTATTACCGAAATAAATAACGGATTTTCTCTCATGCTAATGCAGCGAGATGGAAAGGATAATGTATCTTAAATCATAAAACTCTTGATCAATAAGCCGAAATGTGTTCAAAAATCTAAGAATTAAATTATTTAAATATAAATGTGTAATTTGACAAAAATACGCTGCTTAGTCCTAAGTACTTATTCTTAATAATCTGGTCATCAGCAGAGAAGGGATGGCGAAGTCAGACTTGAACATACAAGAATTCGCCGCACTCACCGATACAGAAAATAGCGATACTGGCTGCTGTGTGGTTAGGCCCGGATTCGAACCCGGAGAAAGCTTGGATGTTTGAATGTGCAATGGTCTATGCAGCATAAGGGGCTCTTGAGAGGTTTTGCAGTAGGGAAAAAGGGGCGAGAGACTCTCGAATCTGTCTTCCGGGATATTCTTCATCAAAACTGGGGGAGAGGTTCTTTTCTCGGAGGTGCAAAATCGGTCACCCCTTATGGTGCAGTTCTCTGAGATCATTGATCAATCAAACGTCCATGAGAAAATAAAAAAATATTCGTGTTTATCAGAAATGTGTAAAATAACTTCTTGCATATTTCATTGTCATTCATAGACATATTACCATTCTCTACTCATTCTGCTTAAAAACTGGAAACTCCATAATTATGCTTTTGCATCCCAAAATCCATGCTTTACAAGGGCATATTCGAATTCCACTTTACTGTATATTAGTCGAAAGTTATCCATGTCTCGCATACTTCTCCTCCTATTTTTCTACATCTAGCAATAATGCCACTGTAAAAGATTGTGTTAATCAGCATATCAACCAACAGTGTTAATCAGCATTTCAATAATATGAAAATTATGGAACGATTAGTGTGGTATATCTGCAAAATTTAAAAAAAAAAAAAAAAAAAAAGAAAGCCTGAATTCTTTCCCTTTATCAAGCCGGGGCAAAATGTCTGGCTTTTTAAACCATAAAGGGATATCTTAGGTTGTTCTTTCCTAATGGTGTGTATATATTGAAGATAGAAGTTAACTATAAAAGCAAAATCCATTTGCCAGTTTTTAGCAATTGTATTTTGTTCATCAAATCAGCGATACAGTTAGTTTTGTAATAGTTGTGAAATGCAGTTGTTTTAAAATGATCGAATGTTTTATTATTACTTCAATAACTCAATCATATAAAATAGACAACAGCGACTTGTTTAACCATGCCAATAAATGTACAAATACCTATAAGACTTCCTTCCTAAGCTTATGAAGATTAACATATATGTAATGAGTAAACTTTTATACGGGAGGAAAAATAAAAGTCATATTCTTTAAAATTTATTCTAAATTTTTTTACATTTGATAATAATAAATAATATATTTTATGAGCATATAAAATGCAAATTTATGATTATTTTTTTATACATCGTATTTTGTTTTTTGGTATATTATTAAAAAAATACGTGGGATAGTTCAGAATCTCCCATTCTGATCGAGCGATCCGAAAAACCCAATTTGCAATTTCCATATCTCATAATCTCAAAACAATCGGACATTTATGAAATGACGTGTCTATTTTTTCCGTATTTCGATTCAACTCTAACGTTATGTTAAACCAATTTTAATATAAATAAGTTATTTAAAAGTTACGCTCAACATTTTAGCTCTATAATATCAATTGAATTTGTTATTTTGTTTTGCATTTGACATTTACAATTTAGGTTCGAATTACAGATATTTTTTTTCTGATTTATTTTTTAAATTTTTAATTATAACCTATAAAAATTTGCTCGCTATCTCAAAATAAATATTTATTAGACTGAAAAAACAGGATTTTTTTTATTCAAAAAATTTCGGGGATATATGTATAAAAATTTAAACGTTGAAAATGTTTGACAATGATTGGAAAATTGGTGTAGGAATTAAAAATGATAATGATAACAAATCTGCGCATCGCTCTGTTTTACATTATTCAGTCTCTTTTTAAAAGGAGTTATTTTTCGTTTCGTTTCATTTTTAACGAAATTCGACAGATTAACTTTTGCCAGCGTAACATTTTTAAATACTTTAATCTGCATCTGTCATCACGCTACTAAGTTTTTGCAACTTTAGAAACATATTAAAATTTTTAAGGACGTTGTTTAAGGAAAGATGGTAATTGATTAAATCTGGAAACAGAAAGTTTTGTTTATTTCCATCAACATATTGCTTGCATTTTACCTTCAGATGCTATAACGATTTTCCATCGAAATAATTAAGGTTAAGTTGTCCAGTTCTTACCTAAATGAGTTTACTTTCTTGCTTCTATATATGTCCAAGAAATAATATTATGTCCAAGAAAGGTAAATTTCTTTAACTGAATATGACAAAACACACTAGAGTTATTTGTCTAAGAGAAGAGATGGGGCTTCGTGTAGGCACGCACAAGTGACCAAATGACTAATGCGCACTTGTGTGATATACAGTCAGCCCAAGCTCACGAAATTCCTTGTGGCAAGAAGTGCAAGATTACGCCTTTCGTTGGGCATCATACAGGTGATAGTGCGATTTAGTTCAGTTCCATCCCAATTTTGATGGAGAGCACCCCGGAAACGGGTTCATGGGTCTCCCACACCTCTTCCCCTGCTCTCAGCCTCTCGAGAGGACTTTCGGCTAGCCGCATATTTAGAGTGCCCCCATGCCACACGGACACTATAGTTTAGTTTAGTTTAGTAACGGAGGACGTGGGCAACACCCCTTTACCATTATGGTTAATTGGACACGGAACACTATACATTACACACATCCTTGCCTTCTCCGGGATTCGAACCCGGGTCCTTTCTGTCAGCGATGCTAACCACTATACCGGTTGGGCGGCGATAAAAGTGCTGAAGAATACTAGTAGATCAATCCAGGTTCAAATTCCGGTGAAAATAATGAATGCATGGGAATTTCCGCACTTTGCTCCATATATAAGATGAGTACAAGAAAATTTCTCTTTATCTCCTCCACAAAGGTATCCCTTCTCTTACGTTAGATAACTGTAGTGTGCTTTTTCATTAATCATATGGTCCAGTCCAACCTTTCTTTTGTAGGAGAATTTCTTTAGGAATCTTGCTCATATTTAAGTTTCACTTAGGGGAAAATCATGAAAACACTCACCCAGCCAGCTCATTAGATGAGATTCGAGACTAGAATAAACACTCGTTTTTATTATCTACTTAGTTTCTGATTGGCCCTAGAAAGAAAAAAGTAGATTAAAAGAAGAGAAATGGAAAGATAGGTAACTGTCGAATTTGCGCAAAACTTGTAACGATTTGCAGCACGAACGGGTATGTTTTTCAAAATTGCAAGATTTAAAAATTTCTGCTTTTTAATACGTAAACACCAGAAAATTAATTACATATCCTATTTCTTTTTCCAGTATATCATGTTCTATGTTTCTACATCAATCACCAATTCCCCAACACGAAATTTTTAAAAAATGCACTTTATGTGTCGTTGGGAAATTTACCTTAGTATAAATTGTTTCGCAAGTGTTATATTTGGATTATCTGAACCCACAAATTAAAACGTAAATTTTGCAGATGCTTTTCAAAAACGCAATCAATTACATATTTAAAAAATTTGCAGTTTAAGCGTGTGCTTTAAAGTTCCGAATAATTTCACCCTGTAATCATTCGTTGAAGAATTAAATAAGAGTCAAGGTAAATTAGTAGCTCGTCAAGTTCTTCCACCCGAAAGAATCTGAATATTTACTAACCCTAAATTTAAAATACCAATAACTGTAAAACAGCTTAAACGATTTTCACAAAACTTGGAGCATAAGCACAATTTGAGGTCTAGAATCGAACTAGGGAACGAAATAGACATTTCATTTCAGAAAAGGTTTTTTTTTTATCAAAACGAGTATGTTTGCGCTATGATAGGTATTTGAATATTATATATACAGTTGAAAATCGTTAAACACGAAACTGAGGGAACTGAAATATTTTTTCATGTTAAAAGAATTTCGTGTTAAAGGATATTGAAAAAAAAAAAAAAAACATATATTCAACAAAATTAAGTCTATTAGAGTACATATGTTTACATACAGATGTATATATGCATCTACTTTAAAAAAATTAATGAAACAAAAACATCCACAAGAACTTAAGGAAATCTAAAACAAAAGTTTCAAGTTTTTTGAAAAACAAAACATTTATTGAATTTTTGTAAAATAATCTGATATTTTTCCTTGCATTGTCTTTTCAGCATCAAATTGTTCAATGTCGCCCATTTTGTTATTCATTTCACCATTGGAATGTGTGTCTTAATAAACGCGCATATTTTTCATGATGTTCCTCATTTCGGATGACGTGGGAACAGGAGATGCATTATTTATTTTATTTTCGTAGTCGGAATCTGCATCAATGATAATTTTTTAGCTTTGAACAAACTCCAAAATGACTTTGTCTGCCATAAATGGGGCTGTACAGATATTATCATCAACTACTGCAACGAATTCTTCCGGTGATACAATAGGACAGTCCAATAATACAGAAACTTTCTCAAACATTTCATTAAGTGTCGGCTGAGTTTCAATATCCTCGTTCTCCATTTCTTTTGGTGCCAAATAATCTGATACTTATGAGAATCGTGCATCACGAAAACAATTTTCATTCGTCTCCGGAGTCACTGAATTCCATGCAGGGTGGAACATATGAAGAGAGAGAGACATGCACAGTGCAACATATGAACCAAACTCACAGATTTTTACCCACACTGCAAAGTCAACTGATGAGAGATGAGATGTTTGTGTAGCGTTTTTAAGGGTGGAACGTAAAAGTAGCTTAGATAAACAAAACTGGCTCATGTAGCAGATTATTCCGAGGATATTTCAAAGCCAAGTTACCCTCCTTTCTACGAAACATGTGAAACCATTGTAGGGATTTACCGGGTGCGTCATAAATTCATGCAAAGTTCAAAAATTCGTAATAAAAGAAGGAATGCACGGAAAATTTTTATTTTTGCGACAATATGGTCAGAAAGACATTGGATTTTTTTCCGTGTTAAAAAAATGTTTTCAAAAGTAACCGACAGAGGGCGCGCA